CTAAATATATCAATACACGTTAGGATGTGATTGTGTTTCATTACCTTAATTAATAATTCAAAGTACTAAATAACAGCGACAGGCTCTTTAACCAAGATAATGTTAGCTTTTAATATGTCAATCTATATATATATAGCCGTGTGCGCCTAAGCAACAGTTTGATGGCCCCTGCGCAAGGATGACACGCAAATTCGTGAAGCGTTCCTCATTTTTCACCCTGGTCACTTAAATGAACATTAAATGACAGAATTGTATCAAAATGTTTGACGTTCATTTTCCTGTCTCGCTGCATCTCTCTCATTTAGGATTAGTTAGGATGAGTCTAGAGGTTGAGTGGTAGGGTTGTTTTGGTTACTGTATTGGTGTAAACTTTGTGTTTTTTGCTAGCTGCTTTAACAAAAAAGTTTATACGTATATATAGTTTTTATTATATGACTGTGTCATTTTTAAGGCTAACATCTCCTGGAGCTAACTGGCTGTGGCTGTGCACATATGTGGATTATTGGAGCGCAATCTCCGCATCCGCATTATCTTTCTTTCATTCAGTCATTATAATGAGATTGAGAACCTGATTTTTTTTTTTTTAACATAATATGGACTTTTGATTTATTTTCCTTTTTACACACAGGCTTTCTAAATATTATGGCTATCACCCAGTAGAAACATAGAATGAATCACACACAGACAGATCCACATTATATACAGTAGCTTCTCAGCACTGAGGAAAAGTAGCAACATGGAAAGCGACAGGAGGTTAAAAGATAGTATGTTTGTTTTTTTTTTGTTTTGTTTTTTTGTTAGTCGTTGACGGTTGTCACTTTAGGTTTCACGTCTTATGTTACGAATAAAAAATGGTGTCAGACTCTTGAAGGATGTCAGCATTAAAATCGATCACAAGGTCAGTACTCATTCAACCACCTAAGTGCTGATCGTGTTTTCGATTTTCTATTTATCAGAGCCATTAAGATAAAATGTTTGATATTTGTTATATATGTTTTGAAAATATCAAATATTTAATCTTAATATAATATTATGTATACAAATGTATAATATCCCAAACATTATATATGTTGAACTATATAAAGAATGTTATATTTATATATCTTAATGGCTCTGCACCCCAGTAGAGGGCAGCATGATGCCATTGTGTGACTTATTGCTACAAAATGGAACAAAGGTAACCATTACATAATGGAAAACAGGCTGCAGAGCAAACCACACTGTTTAGAATTGTATAAAATTGTACTGTAGCTGTGAAGTCAGCGCATCTTTAATTCATCATTCAAATAATTGTATCAGTGTGGCTGGTTTTGTTACCAGCTCAAACACACCAGCATGCATTCAAACTATACCAAATTTGTTTAGTAGAAATATTTTGGTATAATTTATAATAATAATAATAATAATAATAATAATAATTCATACAACATAACCTCCCAATGATATATCAGCCAATATACAAAATACAAGAAGCCACTTTTGTTTAGAGCAGGTATAACGTGCTGTCTGTGTTTAGGAATATTCCTCTTGCTGCCTTCACAAGCTGTCGAATATTTCAATAACGTTTATGTACTCTACAACCTAATTACAAAGTCCGTCTAGTACAGTTGGACTTTACTGGTATAAGAGTTGCCGGGACATATTTTCAAAAACAGGAGCATGGAGGACCAATTAATTACAAAACATATGGTTTTATTTTATTATACTTGAACGCAGAGACATGTCCTATTTATCAGCTCGGAGCTGAGATGTAGGAGCTTGAAGAGGAGACAGTGAACGCCTCTCAACCCGACATATTTTTCCCCTCCTCCATAGTCCGCCTTGTTCCCCTCCATCTCCGCTTATCGCTCAGTGCTCGGACGGTGCGTTAAGGTGCGGATCTGAGTCCCGCTCTTGGGGGAAATTTAAGGAAAGTCAGACGACGTATACGCCTTCAAAAGGACACTTCGAGACGACAGACGTTTATTTCACCGCCTTTGTGCAGCTGTTTTGAAACTACCGTAAAAATGGATCCAATGACTCAGTCCGCCCAGATATCATCGTCGCAAGGGCTTGCCGATGGACAAAATTCTGCTGCCAAAGAATCAAAGCTGTCCGGTAAGAAATGGCTTAACATTACGTTAGCTAGCTAAATGTTAATGTGCCGTTAATTACAATCAAATCTGTCAAATGTTTCTTTACAGGCATATTAATGAATTTATTGGTTAAATTTATAACGCAATAATTAAATTTAGAACAATAAGTTAGCTATTGTCATATTGAAACCCCTTTTATTTAGTCTGTTGTTGGCCTGTAACGTTACGCGGTTGTTTCAGTTATAATGCCAAACACCTGTGGTAGTGAACATATCCGGGCTAACGTTACCAATCACACCCCGTGCTGCTTTGGCCTGCCCCTGGCTCGCAGCGCTGTCTCATGGCGATAACTTTACACAAACAGCCCTTTATGAATCTGTCACTTTTAAATCACCTTGCTGATAGGCTGTAGCTAATGTTGTGGAGCATGAGATAAGACATTGAATCTAACAGTGGCTTTATTCGGACAGCCGAATGATCAGCTAAGCAGCGACACACGGGTTGACGCTGCTTGCTAAAGAGCAACGTTATTATATGAAAAGGAAATTGCGTGAATGGCTGGGCTAAATTAAAAAAAATCATCCACATACCCACTGCTTAGTGTATTTGGTGTTAGCCGAATTTAAATAGGTATCCTAATGGCTGTTAATGTAGTCTTACATAATGCTTTACGAGGTGCGTATGTTTGTTGATAAGTAAATAAAGTTTAAATGTCAGGTTTTTTACATGCACGTTTGGGGTGACAAAGCGTTATCAGCGCAAATGTTGCGATGCTCTGCACTGCAGTTGCATTGTTACTGGGCAACTGCCAGTGAAGGAAGGACCTCTTAAAGGCGTATTGCCCTTTTTGTGTCTGTGTCTTGATAATGTTTAACAGTCACAGAACAAAATATCATGCCTGAAGAGCATCACTACTGTCATTCATATCTGAATAATAACTGTTACCGCCTCCACGTTTGTAGTTTTTTCACATTTTTAGCTTTCACAGTCTAGATGAGCCTAATTTAAACAAAGGAACAGTGTTGTTGCCCAGGGCCTTATGGGCAGGTTATTATTGTGCATGAGGGAGTGGCAGCTTCACCATCAGGCAGTGTATGTTTGTGTTAAGCTGTCTGATTTGAACTCCAATCGGCCACTACATACGCGCCATTTGAAAACCCTTCAAAGCCATGTTCTGTTAATCAAAAGGATTGTAGGCTTTAAAGAATTCTAGCACATATGGTTGATGGTCAACTGGATGTAGCAGGGTGTGGCACATGTCGCCTGGCTGAGGCTCAATTTGGTCTTCTTGAAGTTGTTATCACTGAGGAAGAGGAAGGCAAAAATTATACAAAGGATTTGTAGAAATGTCAACCACTTCAGAAAGCATTTAGCATCATGATTCTTACCATGTTTACGATCATGTGATGTACAATATGATTAAAAACTTGTGACTAAATTCTGATCTTTTGTAATTATAGTCTATTAGTCGACAACTATGGGTGGCTCCACTTTGTCTCAGCCATGAGCTGCTAATTTAGGTGCCTAATAATATCTGATGCTGGGAGTTGTGTATAGCTTGGGGTTTATTCACTAAACATGCATTATAGTATATTTTTAAATTCAGAGGTGGCTCACACAGCTGTAGAGCTTCTGTTAGAGCCAATTCTGTCTGCCGGAACTATAATTCCTGAGGCAAATACTCATAAAACATGGCTGTGAAAGTGAATAGTTTTCTGACCATGTTTGGGTTTTTAACATTCCATGGTAGATAAAAGGCATTGCCGTCCACAAATGTTAGTCATTACTAGGGCTGTAGTGGGGATGGAAAACGCTGCTTACCTGCCTTTTTAAATACAAAATAAGGTTCACTCACCATTCACTCACCAAGTTTAAGTCAAATGAAACTCACTGAGCATTATACGGCACAGTTTGTCATAGTATGTCCTAGCAGTTGGCGATACGGCCCTAAAATAATATGCTATTTCAGGGATATTTCTGCGATAATAATATTCTTGACAATAAGAGCAAATACTGATCTATGCTGTAATTATTGCACTCAGATCGCCTACATAAATCTGGGTGCGTAGTTGGTTTGAAACTCGACTGTTGGTAAGAGAAACTGTGTGGTATGACACTTCAAAATTTGACGTCATCCTCCCAAAACAACAGGACTACAGGTTGCAAACCATAAATGATGGTTGCTCGTTTATCAGTTAGTAAAATTAACCCAATAAACCATACACATGCCCAACACTAGTTATTGTTATCCAATGCTTGAGGCTTGATGAGCTCAATCAGGCTGTTCATTTGCAAGACAGCAAGACATTGATCTAGGCTACCTGTCTGAATGCTAATGTTTGCACTTGGAACTCCATTTCCATTTTCACAGTGAATGCACTTTAGAGAGAGAGAGAGAGAGAAGCGGGGGTAGACAGGCGAGGTGAAGGAAGAGTGCCAGCCAGACAGAGGTTTATGAAACACAGAGCACTAGCTAGATCTGTGCTGAATATTGATTGGTGATTACTTAGCAATAATGATTTAGACCCCAAACCAAAAAAACAACAACATTACTAATAAATAAATATGTATAGGAGTATATGACATTCACGCACAACGGCATGAGAGCTGCTGCAATCATTTCTATCAGTTTACCCACTACAGCACTGCTGAGTCACCTCAAATTCTGGACTTTGAGCCCAACTCTGCATCCACATCACATTCAAAGACAATGTTTGCAGATGTAGTCAAATACTTGTAACCCTAGCATATTTGTTGGAGTTGGTCACTTTATAAATCAACAAAAAGAAGGTTTTTTGTGAAATGGATAGCTAATGATTTATTTGTTATGTGATTAATCTAAGTCTTTGTGTTTAGGCAGACAGGTTTAAAAATTCCACTGTGCTGATTTGAACACTCTGTGATGTAATCACAGGATGAAGGCGTAATAATGTATTAGTAAAATGACTGTTACAGGCAGGAAGTGAAGAAGTGGTGAAATATGATTATATAAAAAATATTCTTATTTACTAGCTGCAAGGACAACCAGGCCTTAATTGAAAACAGGCTCATATCAGAAACATGTCTTAAAGCCACATTTTCTCCTGTTTTATAGGTATTTATATTTTTCATTCAGTAATTGAACTCTTCCTGTTAATGTTGCAAATTTACCAGGAAAGGGGTGGGTGCCATGTAAGTCATGGCAGGTTTTAATGTGAAACATATGTTCAAGAAGTGTTGAGTTTTTTTGTTGTGATTGTGACTGTGATTTTTAAAAAAGTGACTCCAAACAATCTGAGGCTTGCTGAATTATTGTTATTGGAGGACAAAGCAGAAAGGAGTGGGGCTTAGTAAGGGTCAATTGTTTGGAGTCACTTCTTTGCTTTTTTTTAAATCACAGTTAAGCTACCAATAAAACTCAACACTTAATGAACATATGTTTCACATTATAGCACACCTTGCATGGCATCCGTCCCTTTCCTGGTAGGCCTTAAATTTGAAACATCTACAGGAAGTGATGATTTGTAACAAAGATAGCTTAAAACAACAGCCAAAGTCTAAGCACCCCTCTATATACCCCTCAGATATTGCCACATTACAGATATATTCTGTTAGAGATATCTTGATATGTGCTTTTGTCCATACCGCCCAGCCTGTATTTGTTTGTTGTATTTGCCATAGTAATCTACCCCAGGTTTATCTTTCAGCCTGCAATCGTCACAGCTACCAGATGGCCTGGCCCTCCTCTCCAGCTTCTGTCTGAAGCTGAGCCCATTCCACTTGACTCGCACACTGATGAGTGACACTAGTCACAAAGGAAGTGGCACACTTCAAAATGAGGACCTCATTTCTCATACTACATTGCATCAGATTTTCAGGGGAAGTTAGCTTTGGAGTCAAACTATTTACTCCTGCCTTTGTGCAATCTCACAATCGAAAATGGTTTACAGTGTTTTTATGTGAAAAGTACTTTAAACTTGACACTGATTGTTTCAGCACTCAGATGCACTTAACAGCAATCCTCAGCTCACTGTTTGATCACTGTAGTTCCTTGTTTAGTGCTCCAGCTGTCTCTGTGCTCAGGAATGTTCTGATGTGAGCAGACTAACCTTTATACTGCTGGAGGCATCAAACTCAGAAAACCAGAAAACTAGAGACTTATGTTCTTTTCCTCTGTTTTGGTATTGGTTTCTATATCATTTTCGACGAGTTAACATAGTAGTAGGGATGGGCATTTAAGTATTTCCTGCTACTGTGCAGGATTTAGTGACATCTAGCGGTGTAGTTGCAGATGCAGTAACCTTAGCCCATATAGCAGAACAGTTAATTTTCTTTCTGTAAGAAAATAAGTGCAATTTGATTAGTTATACTAGTGTTTTATCATTGTTTTATTATATATTTGAGTACTCTATACACTGAATGAATACTGACATACAAACTGAGTACTCCTGCCCATCCCTAGTTAGTAGTCTCCCAAAGCAGTGATACACAACTATACTAATAGATAACACATTCCCTCCATGAACCTGTAGTCTGACCAGAAAGAATAGGTTACATGTAGGGGTATGAATTTCTTTTTTCTTTTTTTCTTTTTTTGACCTCATGATTATCATCAACATTGTTAACCAACTCATATTTCAGTGAATTAAACGTTCTTTTGATTCATTGATCAAGACAGGTGCTAATTGCAAACCACTTGAAAGTGAAGCTCACACGCAAAGCTTAAAGGAACACAGAGTTCTTTCCACCTCCCCCCTCTCTCTCCCCCTTTCTTTCTGCACTCGTCCTGCCAAGGCAGCCCTCCTCCCTCCACTCCCTGCCGGAGTGGACCATATCACTGAGGTCACAGAGGCAATCAGATAGCCCTCAGGGGTGGAGAGCACAGGATAGCTTGAGCACCAGGGCAGGGATGGCAGGCATTGCAGCAGACCCACCTAGTAAAACCGTCACTTCCACTAAGAGATGAGCATAAGAACCATGAGGGCACAGTGCTGACTTCCAACACAGTCTAACCTTGGTCCCAGACACCAAAAATGATAATTTCTATAATTGGACATGCCCCATTAATGAATATAATTTTGCTCTTGCTATGTATATCTTAGCTTAAGAGATGGCTAACATGAAATCCTTGTAATAAAGAATCAAGGTAAGTTTAAGGCTTTTTAGTTGGGATCTTACCTTTTTTGTAAAAGTGTGGAAAATATGGCATTACAAACTAATATACAGCTCAAATTTAGCGTCTATGTTTAGAGTCAGGGCTAACTACAGCAAGAGAAGAGGGTTACATTTAAAAATAATTGCAATATGATTTTACACCGCTAGTTGTCTCAAATTTTTAAAATGGAAAAAATATTTAATTAATTAAAATATGTTAATATTTGATATATCAACGAGGGATCCAATGACTGTGTCTGGGTTTGACACTATAAGTGTCTCCTTTCACATACAAACACCCTCAGCTCTATGGAGGTATTTCAGCCTCTTTTAGCTCATTGTTTTGGTATGGCACACAAACTCTGATCTCCTCAGCCTTATTTCCAGCAGCTACAGGCAGCTCTGGTAAAGTGACTACACGCCCTGCTGTCCAGCATCAATCAGACGATGGACGGAGTGGGCAGCTAGTGGAATAAAGTGGAGCCAGATATTTTTCTCAGAAATTGGTAGAAACCAGCGCTTAAAGGAGAATAAATATTGGCCTTGTACATTGGCAAAAAACACAACACCACTGGTAAGCTAACATTGCTCCATTGTCTTCTGGAATTGTAAATATGAAACCGTTCGCTAATGTGTTCATCGAAGCAACTTTATAAGGTGATAATATGACAGATGTTGTTTTTTCAGTTTGTTTGCCCCCCAAAAAATGTTTAGTAAAGCAGACTGATTAAACAGCTCCTTTATATTCCTCTCTGGACTGGCTGCATAGTCCACACTGATCTCTAATCTATTATAAGTTATCATTCATATATTTGTATTGGATTGTATTCAAGTTGTGCAGTCCTCTTTAGATCTGTATGTTGGTTTGTTTTATTTCTATAGCATCACAGTCTAGTCAGATCTATTCCCATACTTACATACTGTATTCTGTTATTGTTGTGATCTAACTTGTAATATAGATATGAGGTAATGCACATGAAAATTTGTCAATGGTGAAACAGTTTTTGATTCTAAGATGCATCCTTCAAATGATCTGATGTCATGGATTTGTTGAACCAAGACATATATGCATGTTTTAATTATACAACTATACACTATATACAGTACATCTCTGACAAATGTGGGAACACAAGTAAGATCAAGAGCTGTTATTGTGATAAAAAAGTGAAGGTGTGGTGTGTTAAGAGGATAGCAGAATGAATAGCATGAATCTGAGAGAAGGAATGCTGCCCCACAAGGACACACTAACCCCAACCTGCCCAGCCTGTCTAAACTTCATTTGAGCTGAAGTGAGATGCCACACCTCCCTTAGTAAACCTGAAACTCTCACATATCTTCAGTCCTTATCCATGACTCAAGATACGTCTCTCCTGGCTTCACCAGCCCGCCTGATGACAAAGCAGAGTTATTTGTGAACTCTAAAAACTTCTTTACCTTGATGGAGGCTATATTCCCAGTGCAAGGTGTAATGTCCTAGAGCATGAAGTAGAAATGGTTGCCCAGAAGTAGGTGGAAATTGATGGCCCAGCCTCTTCTCTTCTGGTTCTTAGCAATAGTGAGGTCTTATATTTGTTTTGGGTAAAAATCTGGCTCACAGTTGGAGTTCCATTTCATCCCAAAGGTGTCGGGTGGGGTTGAGGGCAGGGCTTTGTGCAGGCCAGACAATTTCTTCCACACCAAACTGGGAAACTAATCTTGTATGAAGTTGGCTTTGTGCAGAGTGGCATTGTCACATTGAAACCCGATTGGAAGAACTGTTGGAAGAACTGTAAAATATCATTGTATGCTGGAGTGTTAAGCTTACCCTCAACTAAGGGGCCTAGACCAAACAATTTTTAAAACAAGCCATATAGTGTACATTAAGTCTTTGTTAGAGATATTCCGATACCCTTTTTATCCTTTATTTTAGAACTGTTCCAATACAAATGCATACACCGAATGAATAGCTTTTTTTTAGTAAAGTAAAATGCAAAAGTTTAGCTAGCTACTAGAAATCAACTCTTCTTTGTTGTTCTAGAACAGTAGAAGCCAATGCACAGTGCACATGACACGCCTACTCTGACTCTGATTGGCAATTACCCATTACCTTTTTGGCGGTTGCTTAGATTGGTTAGGGTTGTGGTGAGAATATTACACTAAGCCAATATGAGTCACAGTAGGGTTGTTTGTGGCGTCCTGGTAGCTCACCTGGTGGAACTGGCGCCCCATGTGCAGGTCAGGTTCGATTCCAGCCTGTGGCCCTTTGCTGCGTGTCGTCACATCTTTCTCTACCCCATTCCTGTCTACCTTGAGCTGTTCTATCAAAATAAAGGCAAAAAAGTCCCAAAAAGATATTTTTAAAAAAGAGTAGGGAGCGGGCCTTCTCTTTGCCATCCTGGGGGGTAAAAATGGGCTAATAAATTACATGACATCAGATTGGTGCACAGACACATGCTCACCAATATCCGATCCATCATTTTAGGCAGTAACCGAGGCATTTCCGGTACTGGTATCAGAACAACTCTAATCTTTGTGTCCTGCTGGTTTCCATTGAAGCAACATGTATGTGAGAAGTACTAAAGAAGAAATAGTGGTTGTAGCTTATTTGTGGGAAGCACTTCTGTTTGCTCATGGCAACACTAAAGCAAAATGAGAAGTGCTTTTTCTGCTTAAGTAAAATTTCTTGGTCTTGCCTGCATAGCAAATATAAGTGCATGTGTTAAAGTTATCGTAGGTTTACTGAAGTAAGCAATGAGAGCGTATTCATGGGGCATCTCTGTTAACATTTTCTGGTCTCTATTTTAAGGTTTGTGTATAGTATGTAGAGTTGTTAAGGCTGGATAAGTTCAATCTTGATTTGAATGCCATTATTTGAATGGGTGCACAGGGTAGGAGTTCTTTACTACTTCTTCTAGGATGATCATTCTTCTGTCCTTTATTTTTTTCAGATTCCTTTCTTTCCTCTTCGCCTGTATCTCTCATTCAGTCTCCTCAAGGCAAGTGTATGGTTCTCTTACGCTGCTCGCCTGCTCTCTCTCTCTCTCTGTCCGGTACTCTCTCGCTGGCCTGCTGCTGTACCGCTCTACTTCATCCCTTCTTTTCTAGTGCCCCTCTTCCGCTCACCACTAAGAGTCCAAAAAAAATAGAACAAACCTGCAAAGAAAAGGAAAAAAAAAACAACGTACTAACCTACGTACAGCCCTAACCCCGGGTCCTCTCCCAGCTCGAGGTCTTTACCTGCCCCTCTTCCTACAAACCGTGCCATGCTGTTCCATCTGTTTCCAACGCTGCTGACCGTCAGTTGCCACACTAATTGTAAGTTAGCCGGGCAGCACAGCGGCTCCTGTTTTCAATGACATATGGCATTGGTAATTTTCTCTTCCACCCCCATCCCCCACTGCAACTTGAGATGAAACCTTTCTAGCTCGTGCCATAAATAGCCATCTTGACCTATTGACAGGTTTCATTGTTAGTTTATTGTTAGTGCTGCAGGAAATTTATCTGTGCATAGACATAGTCTGAGCAGCAGTAGCTCAACCAGGAGAGCTTACACAGGTATTGCTGCTTATGCTGCTTGTTCTCTCCCATCTCCAGAATTTTTTACAGACATCAAAAATTAGTCCTGTAAAACCTCGCCTCTGCTAGCAATCTGATCCATTTCAGTCTTTACCGCCTGCTAGCAAGCATTATTTAGGTCAGCAGCACTCACTGTAGGTTCAAGATAATCCCAAGATTGCCACCTTATTTTAAGAAAGCAGAGAAGTTCAAGTTCACATTGTGTGCGCAAGAGCAGAAACCTAAAAATGGATCAGGTTGGTGTCCCGGGAGGGTGGTCCTACCTTCCTGCTGCCCTAGTATCCGAGCCACCCCCCCCCCCCCCAGTAGCAACCCGGGCCTCCAGAGGAATGAGTGGCACTGGATACTCATTCCACGCCAGTCCTGGGCCTGCCATTGCCTGTGGCTGCTCACTCGACCCCCACCCCCACTACCTGCTTATGGCTTTGTAGGCTTTGTGCATGTCTCACATCCAAGCTTAAGCATTTAAAAAATAGGTTTTCTTTAAACAGTTTTGCTTTTTTATTTTCAGATTCTTTTTCTGCTGTGATTTTGTTAAATCAGTGTGTGAACAAATGGTAGCCAACACGGTGAAAGCAGTGTTTGTTAGAATAGACATAGATTGGGATAGATGATATCATGAGTTACACGTTACCGTTACACACTTATGTCACAAGCATCCAACCTATTCACTCTAAGTGAGGAATGACAGGACTGCACCCAGTGGAATTTGAACTCTTACTGCTTCTCAGCAAGGATATCTGACTTGGCTTATGCATTACAGTGATCAGTAAATCAATACCTGGGGTTACGAGGTAAATTGTCAAAATTGATGAATGAAGGTACACACTTGTGTTTATGTATTTTACATAAGATGATAAGAACAGATGATTGTCATACCCAGGCCATGTACATAATCACCCTACTGCAGAAAGCAGATTACATAAATGAGACGTGGAAGGCCACTGGGGCCAATTGGGCAGATGGTACATAACTAGTGGCCTATTACAAAGCCAAGTTGTTGACAGTTTTATCTTAACCACGTTCATAAAGCCACTCCTGAGTTATAGTCCCTCTGGAAGTCTAGTAGACCTGGCCGTGTCTGACATCCATGGATGTATCCTCTGAGCGCTAGCTGTTTTGGAATTTGTTTACTAGTACAGAGCCAAAGGACTACAACGCTGTTGGCGAGATGGAAAGTCCATTCATGTGGCCTAGTTTGAACAAGGCATTGTATTGTGGTGCAGGGGAGGTGGCAGTCCTTTCCAAGACAAAGTGGACCAGTCAGTTGGGCATCAGTGGAAAAGTCTGTGTCGACACAGTGGGAGGGGTGGGGTCATGCCAACAACACAGCTAGCATGGCAAGGTTCACTTGACAAATTTGGAACTTGCATTAAGTATACAAAACTAGTGATTCATTAGCAAGTAGAGGTTTGCGTGCACAGGTTGAGCTGGGCAGCTGATGTTAATTTCCAAAAATAGCTGCCAATTCCCTGTCATGACAGCTTGATGTTGGGTGTTTAAAATGACATGGGAGATGAAAGGGATCATGTGATTGTCGGAACAGTTGCCTAGAACATCTTTGGAACTCTGTGGCCTCCAGGATAGCTAGGGGGGCCACCTGGCTTGGGAGGGAGGGGGGCACGCCATCATAGTGACTGTAAAAACCTCCTTAGCTGCGTGGCTGAGGAAATGGTGGTGTTTAAATGACCCGATTAACTGTGTAAGGATAGCGGTATTATCTAACTCTTGGCATATTTTTCACCATTTTATTATATAATTTTGATGTTATAATAGGCAGTTAACAAATACTAATCATGTACCATGTAACTGACCACAACAATGAATAGAATTCTTTAGGGTTTGAGACATTGTTGACAAAAAATACTGTAATTTGCATTTTATAGATAGAGCTGTTGTTGTTTTTCATAAATTATTTTTCTTTTAGGTCAACAAAGAGGGACAGAAGTGTGAATTTTACTGACAATCCATTTCTTAAAACTGAAAGTGGTTTCAGGCTGCTGCTTTTGTTCAAAGTACTGCTGGGGAACAATGTGCACTTGGACAATTACTAGCAAAATTTTCTCTAGTTGGTATGTAGCTTGAGTAGGTAATAGGTGTGTTGCATTCTGTTTTGCTGTTGAAGACCACAGATGCCCTCGGGAGATGTTTACTCAGTCTATCAACCAAGACTGTTTTTTATTTCATTTATCTGGCATTGTCACAATGGCACTCATTCAATTTATAGTGAACTAACTGGAAAATATTTATAGCCATTTGTTTTGCAATGGCAGAAAGCCATTGCAGGAAGGCTACTGGTAAAGTGTAGATGGCAGAAGGACATTATGAGCATGGCATCTTTAATTAAAGATCAATGGTGATTTTGCAGCAACATCAACCTTTTATTTTGCAGAAAATATTTAATGCATTATAATATACAATACAAAAAAAAATAAGAAGTACAGGCAGTTTTTTTTTTTTAATCTTTCTGACCTTTTGGCTTGTTTTTTGAGATGCGTTTTTGTATCTCATTCCTTTTTATTACTTCAGTTATAGGTGTGCTGTGTAGTCCCCATTAACAGCTCTGGTGAAGTTGCATATATTAAGACATTTATTTTTCTTTATGTAAAATTGTTTCCTTTTACATTCAGTGACTAAGACTTTTGTATGGAGGAAGTAGTCATCTAATCACTTTCTTAGAAAACTGCAAGTTGAGGACAAAGGTTGACACCGTTGTAAGTTTAAGTTGACTTCCTGGGTTATCACTATAATTATTTTAGCTGCACATGTCTACAGAGAACAGTTTCCAAATCAAAACCCTGTCAAACGATGTATTGACTGATTTATTAAATACCCTTTCAGTTTTTATTGAGAAAATGTGTACTATTCACAAACAAGCAGACAGATGAACACAATCAAAAAGAACCTGCTTTCAAGCCTGCAAGTGTATAGCAAGTCATATACACCTGCTATATGAATTGCAGTTGACATGCAGTCACCATAGCCATGTGGTGATTTAAGTCAGTCAGTGAGATTTAATTTCTGTTGCTGCTTCATTTGAGCATTCAGATCATTTAAGTTCCATATTAAGTGCTGCCTGATGGCAACTTTGTGGAGAACTTAAGAGCAGCATGCAAAAAGTGGTCCTATCCATTATATGAATCTACCTTACATTTCCATGATGCAATGCATGAACGCTTTGGCTGCAATATTAAGGCCTCGCTGTATTATCATAATATTAATAATAATGATAATAGTAATAGTAGTGCATGGGAGTTCAGTGTCTGTGATTTATATGACCTCCCCTCCTTTTTCCCCATCACTGTCGGTCTTCATGCATGGTGATGCAGACAAAAGAGTGGTCCTGGGCTCCGACAAGCCCTGCGAAGGTGTAGCAACGTCCCTTCGCTTTCCTTCTCAACCTGGCTCATTCACCCCTGGTAATTACGGGAGTGAAGCAGGGCCGCCAGATGGACAACCGGATTCGCCGATAAAGACGTCCCCTGTTTCAGAGCGAATAAAGGCACTGGAAGCTCTTGCCGCGAAAAAGAAGGAACCTGATTTTAGAAGCGATGGAGGTTTCTCTCACTTCAGAGACCGCCACCATGAGAAGTCTCCCACTGAGACCCCCAAATCTCCCACTGAGACCCCCAAATCTCCCACTGAGACCCCCAAATCTCCCACTGAGACCCCCAAATCTCCCACTGAGAAAATTACACCAATTGTCCAGAAAAAAGGAGGTTCTGCTGATCAGGAGTCACCAGAATCTCCCTTTGAAGTACTTGGAGATTTAAGACAAGTGAATGAATTTGAAGAAACAGAAGAGTGGATGAAGGCTCATTTACCTCCTGTGCCAGACTTTGATGCTGTAGATTTAATTAAAGGCAGCTTGACTTCAGACAATGTTACATCAAAGGAGGAGGAGAAGAAGACTGACATAGTTATACCTGATGCTCCTGCTGCCTTTGCCGGTGTCCCTGATGCTTTCATGGATTCTCCTGTTGAAACTCAAAAACTGAAGGATGAGCTCAGTGACACACAGAAGCAGACAAGTGTCGAGGAGGAGTCTGAGTTTGACCTCAGCTTTTTGCCAACAGCCTACATGTGGGATCAGCAGGACAAATCAGGTGTCCAGCCTCCATCGAATGTCAATTCAGTGCTTCCAGCTTCACCTGCACCTCCTGCAGGCTTTGGCTCCCCATCTCCACCAGTTGGCACGGATGCTAAACAGAATATGACAGATGGCAAGAAGCCATCTTGGACCGGAGATCTGGAGCCCACAGAGGCAAGTGAAGCGGACAGCTCAGGAGACTCAGATGATACTGTCATAGAAGATGGTGTCTCTGTTCCTGCATCTGTTCCTCCTTCGTCTTCTGATTCAGCAGTTTCAAATGACCCTACCACTACCCCTGCTTCTGCAGCTTCGAATCTTCCCACTGAG